TTTCGGAATGTCAGAGTAGAAAATCTCATTTGCGGATAGAAATATGCAACTTTTTATGCTCTTTCCAGCCAGCAGTATGAGAATGTTTGATAATATTAGATAAGGTCGGATTTCGCTATTCTGGCATCCCTATAAACGCTTCAATTCAGGACTTATGGCTGAGGAAAAACCGTGTTCGGAATAATTTTTCCATGGAGCGACAGGAGGTCCTATACACCTTTAGTAGGGCTATCGACTGCAAGCAGTCAAACCTTCCCGACTTTAAGTTATGTACAAAGTGGGCGGACCTGTGCGGAAGTACCCTGAACACATATGTATAACAGAAAACATTTTGAACAACGAGGTAAATCTCATTTCTACATACCTCCTAAATGGGTATTACCAGCTGTCGATTTGACTTGAAATATACCTCCCGCAATTTTCAGCACATCAAATGTACCACCACCCAAATCGAAAATCAAGACATTTCTTTCACCATCTACTTTTTTGTCTAAACCGTAGGTAAACGCAGCTGCCGTCGGCTCCTTAAGGATTCGCAAAACATTCAAGCCAGCAATAACACGAGCATCTTTTGTTGCCTACCGTTGTGAATCATTGAAATAGGCTGGTACAATAATAACAGCATCATTAATTTTTCTGCGTACAATAAAAGAAAATTCATTGTTAAGAATCATAGCGCTATCATAAGATGTAAGTACCCAAATAAGCTTCGACTGTCTCTTCTATCTTCAAACACCATCGATGATATTTCTTCGGGTGTGAATGCCTTTGTTTCGTTTTTATATGCACCTTGAACTTTTGGTTTTCCACCTAGAAAAGAAGAAAGATGCTCATAAACAGTGTCATACGCAAAATTCTATTAAATGATTAGAAAAATGTTTTTTCTGTCTTTCCTCAATAGATTAGTTTACTGTACGTTCAGCGAAGACTTTATTGATGTTTTGGTCTCTTCTGCAGACAATCTTGACTTCAAATCAAACAAGAGATATTATCTGACCTTCATGTGAAATATTTTCAGGTTTCTTTTCCACTAATCATCTGTTAACTTGGTTGTAATACTTCTCTGAAACTGTGATTCACATACCTTCCTGGATAACAGTGAACGGACAATGTTTCATATCGGCTTGTACGGTTGGATCATTATATTTTCTTCCAATTAATCGTTTAGCATCAAAAATAGTGTTATTTGGATTCATTGCCACTTGATTTTTTGCGGCATCTCCAATTAGACGTTCTGAATCGGTAAACGCCACATACGACCTTTTGACAAAGAATAAATTTAGAGAATTCATAAATAAACATTTTATACACTGTACTTACGGTGTAGCACGATTTCCCTGATCGTTGGCAATGATTTCTACCTTGGCATGTTCAAATATTCCAACACACGAATAAGTTGTACCAAGGTCGATACCAATCGCCCGTGCCACTGGTGTTGTTAAATAATAATAATTAAAAACTAGATATAGAGAGATTGACACGAAATAGCGTGCACACAACTGTCCAAACTAATGTTTATCTTTTAATATACTCTAGGTGTTTTGTCATTTGACTTATATAAGGAAACTTGTACTATTTTTCTGATTCTCGTATGTTCGACAATATCGACGTTCTTTCCCGATGGTTGTACAGTAACTCACTACACAATGCGAGGCACTGATATTCTTTCTCTTCTTCTTCCATTGCTTCGTTGCATCATGATGATTAAATTTTTCTTTTCTAAAGAATAACGTGCATAAACCGTCTGTACTGAAAGTGCTTCAGATTCGTTAGTCGGTTGTTTAAATCTCACATATAGTGGTATCTTTCTTTCGCTTTTGTTTGATATTCGTTTTCGTCAAAAGTGGCAGTGTGTACTCTCGAAGACGATGATCATCATCATGAAGTTAGTTTTTTGTTTAATGTGGTTATTCGCGAGAAAAATGAAATAGAATATATTTGTTAACACATCTTCCACAGTGAGATTAATCATCTAGAAAAATACACACTTTTCTATGCCGAGTGAACGCATATGGAGACGAAATAGATTTAGCTGGGCTGTTTTTGCAGACATTTAATTTGTTTTAAAAATAAAAATACGAAAGCGAAGTATCTACCTGTTGCTCAAAAATATATGTTTACTTCATATCAGCCAATTGAAACTCTCAAAGCATATTAGTCTGCTGATGATACTGTAAAGTATCGAAAGATCGTTTTTTATGTAAGATGTTTTTACGCAAATGCTGTTCAATTATATTAAGTTTACTTAGTTTTATAAGCAAATGTAGAAAGGTGAACGAATGTCAATATATCTATATTGCTGATGGCGATAATAATCGTATTGTAGAATGGTTGTCTAATTCAAGGAAAGTTTGATCAATTGTTGGTGGTCATGATCAGTCGAAGGTCGGTATGCTGAAGATCTATGACAGTTCCATTGCGTAGAAATTCAAAACGACCACTGACAAAAAATACGGCAGTATTCAATTATTTAGCAAGTTGGAGTGTGCCGACTGAAGAAAAGCAAGTCGTTCTTGCGGCGAACCATCAAAATCAAGCGCAGTCATACTACCTGTGGGATGGAAAGTCTCATGCGCCGAAAGCCTTTTTTGCATATATGAGAACCTTCCGGCGCCGAACACTTGCTTGTAAACTGTAAGGACTGTATTGAAACGTTATGCAAGAAATAGAAGAAAGTCCCAGCTGCCAGATGATGGATAGGTTCAGAATTTCAAAAATTCAAGTCAAAAGTTTTCTGGTGTAGCATTTATTGATTTGATCTGGTGCCTGTATCGTTTGTTTTTTCCCTAGTTCTTTTTAAGGCGGCAATAATTAAACAATTTCTATACTGCGGACGAAGTTTAAAAAAACTGACTAATAAGAACTAGAGAAAAGAATTCATTTGTCATCAGTTTTCTCCCTGTGTTTAGCAAATAGCTGTAAAAGCAGTTTTTTATTTATTCTGTGATATACTTGTTATATAATAATTTTAACACGAAAAAAATCAAATCAAACATTATCAAAATCACTTTTTCACCTTGCCAGTCTGTAGAGCACATCGAGTTGCCTATGCCTGTAAATTGTTTCGACTACGTTGTAAAGAACTTAGTTTGAATTTCTGACGAACAACCGTGTTGATTAGGTCTTTCAAGACCTACCAGTAAAAAAAGGTTAAAATCGTCGTTACTTCCATCCGACCTGATATTTAATTGATTCTTCAAAGAGCCTTTAACATACATTTTTTAAATATTTTATATGAACCCAATTCGAATTGCTAGCTAGGTATATCGGGTAGTATATTGAGTTAGCTAGCTAGATCGCCCGATAGTCGGTATTTTTTTTCTTCTTGGGAAAAAGCCAGTTTGAGGTCAAACAATCAACAGGTGGATAGACAGTCTGTACAGGGTTACGAAATTAAAGCTTGACTTGAACCAACTATGAATCAACTAAAATATAAAATCAAAACAATACCTCTGCAAGAGCAAATCTTTATTCCTGATCGAATGACGTTTTTCAAACATACTATCGTGAGTCATCATAATTCAGTAGGAAAAAACCTAGTACAGAATGCTCGACCAATACAACCTGCCATCTTTCAAATCTAAGAAAAGCAAGATGAACTTAATTTTGTTGTAAATAAAATGATTAAATATTATAAAATTAAAATATTTTCAACGTTGAATAACATAACACCGTCTATGCACTGTTCTTGCTTTCTTTTGACACCGAGAAAAATGAATCGAGGCACACATTTTCTAAAAAATGGCAACGCTCCATCTTATCCATACATGTCATAACCAACCAATCAGGAGAATTGGGGGGTTTTCTTTTCTTAATCGTCCTACATAGGAGATGTATGCTGTTGGCTACTGGCTACAAGAGTCTCAAGCGTCTTATTTCTCATCTGTTCTAAATGCGAAGGTCAAAATTTCGAAATTACCGAAATCTTGAAATTACCGAAAATGAGAAATTTTCTTTTTCGTTAGTGGGTAATTACCGAAATTTCTTGGAAATTTGGTTTTGAGGTATTAGTGAATGTAGGTAATTTTTGGTAAGTTTCTGTATTTGGTTCATGGATGAATCTGTACTGTATGTTGGAATGTATGGTAATTTCGGTATTTTCTCATTTTATTGGTTTTGCATTGTCGAAATTTCTGAAATTGCTTTATATATGAAGGAAATTTCCTTTTTTGGAAATTTGAACACTGCTGGAAAAGTGATTCTGGTGTAGCTTAAGTTCAATATGATAGAGTTAACAGCAGCTTTAAATCTTTTTATTGACATTTTGTTAATAGATATAACAATTTATTTTATTACTGTCGACGTTTCGATACATTTAGTATCATTTTCATTTAATCGTTATTTTGCTGTTATTTGTCTTGAAAATGATACTAAATGTATCGAAATGTCGACAGTAATAAAATAAATTGTTATATCTATTAACAAAATGTTAATAAAAAGATTTAAAGCTGCTGTTAACTCTATCATATTTATTCTCAAATGTTTACCCATATCAAAGCAAAATTAGCTTAAGTTCACTTAAAATAATCCTAATTTAGCTATGCATGCAGAGAATTGAACGCAAGAGGGCAAGCACGGAATCATAGAATTCTGAATTCTCCTGAATTCCCTATGATTCTATAGGATTCCATAGGATTCTCTTGAACTTTCCCCCAAAACAGAACAAAAATGTTCTGTTTCGGGGAAAAGTTTCCCAGAATACAGGGTGCCACTAAATAAACGGAACACCTACATCTATCTTGTTTTAAACGCTTTTTCTCTACAAATTTTTATTCAAAACCTAGCAAAACAACAGAAACAACAATAAATAAAAAGATTTATTCAAAATGGCTTCCATCTGCTTCTACACATGCCTTCAACAAAATTTGTTGAGAAAAAGCGTTTAAAACAAGATAGATGTAGGTGTTCCGTTTATTTAGTGGCAGGGTGTATAGAACACATTTGTTCTGTTTCGGGAGAAGTGTAGAATCCCGGATTCCACCAGATTCCATCGGATTCTACTAGATTCCATAGAATTTCAGGATTTCAGGATTCCGATCTTTCCCCCTTGATTGAACGCTATATCAGAATGGTACAACCAGAGGAACAGCAGAAGCCTTCTTTTAGCTATGTAGAAGAAAGTTTAAAGAAAAAAGAATTCCTTAACGAATGTTGTTACAGCTAAGCGAGAACTTTGTTTTCGGAATCTTACTAATTCTAGTAAAGTTAAGGTTAGTCTCTATCCAACTTAGAATGATGTGGAAAACTCAAAACGGGCCTCTCAAGTTGATTGCAATGTCCATGTTTTAGACGAACTGTTTCAATCTCAAGTCATATTGATCTGATAATCTTTTGTTCAAAATATGGCACAATCAGTAAGCGTCACAGAGAAGTCTCAAAAGACCTTGATCGGAATAAATGCGAAAAATCAAAATGTTTCTGTATTTGTGATTTTAGCTCACAGATCCAGCTTCACCGCAGCAAATTCCAGAACTGACAGTAAATGGTGTAATTAATGGCCAAGGTTTAATTGGTAAATACTCGAAGCATTGTTTAAAGTTTTTTCCCAAAACTCAATGTTTTGAGAACAAAACGAAAGGTTTTATTTAGTCACACTCAAAACAAGACAAATGATCTTTGCTCTGTTCAGTGAGAAACGAAGTCATTTTGATCTTTTTTTATAAGTGATATTTGACAAAAAACCTTAAGGAAATATCCAGCATCTCCACAGAAGCAAATTTAGGAATGTTTTTCTTAACTTAAACTGTTATGCGCTCGCTATTCAATAAATGACAGTTTAGATAGAAAAATTGTCATTTCAATGCTTCCAGGAATACTGACTGTAATAAAAAAAGAGCACGCTACTCAACTGAAGAAAGAGATTAGATCAAATCTGAATATAAACAGAAAAACGATTCTTCGTTTCTCAGCGTCTATGGGGTTTTCCCCGGGGCTCGCTCCGATAAGCCAGAAAAAAGAAAACATACCATTCTGATTAATAACTTTAGTTAAATGATTGTATTAACATAGGTTTTGTTATGGTTATATAGGTGACACCAGGCAAATAACGCCTGAAAGTAAAAGAAACAGAAAGAACAAGTTAGTTGTTAAATAAAATAACCTGAGAAGAATTACACCGTTTTTTATTATAAAGAGTGTTGAACTAAGGTTCAGTTGTATATTGGAGATCAAACACTTCTAACATCTTTTTCATTTTTCAGTGACTTTAGATTTTTCCGAATTTTAAAGCTTCACAATTCTTAAATTCTTAAAGTTATCTATATTATAATCAACACAACAACAGCGAATGTCCTCAAGCGCTTTTGGCCATCTCTTAATCAGAAACCTCACTTAGGAACGAACCTTAAGATCCTAGTTTTATAGATAACATGTTTTATGTCCTGCTTCTCCTAAACTAGTAAAGCTTGTGTTTTACCTGATCAAAAGAAAGTATGGGTGACATTGAAAAAAGGGTTTTTTTAATTGTATGAAGCTGCAGTTGAGTTTGACTTGAATTAAAAAATACCATTTGCCAGCATGTAGACGTCCTAAGAGATCAATCTCAAAGGATTTCTTTCAAATGAAAAAATACACTTTTTGAGCCCTCCGTCCTCTGTGCCGCCTTAGTAGGCACGCGTCGATCAAGGATATGGCTTTAAAAGTTTTATAAGGTCATACACCTAACTGCTATAAAAAGGCGGATGTCTCTAAAAGATCATTCTAAAACGCAACAAATCATTTTATTATAGGGTTTGACATGTTTTAATGGGCTGTGTATAGCAGTAATAAGAGAGCTTCAAGTCCCTTCCTTACTATAGCTGTATATCCTTTCGTTATACACTTTCTCTTCGGTAAATATAGGCATGTCACGGTTGTCGTCAAAAGTTGCCTCTAGTATCCACATCACCCCGTGTCCTATGTGGTCAAATCGGTTTCCTGTCTTTTCTTGAACGTTTCATACATTTGTGAAAAGTCTTTCTTTCCTTCTTTATGCTCCTTTTTTTACTAAAACTCATTCTTTTTTTTAATTCACCACACTGTAAAAAATAAAGTGAATGTGCACACCGCGTTGGGCTGCTTTTGCACACTGAAAACGGCTTGTGCAGTGTGCCTGTAACACACTGGGGTTGCACAAGAAAATATATAAAATCTATTCGTAGAATAATGTACAGCGCTTCTCTGTAATGTTTATATAAGAGAGAAAATATAAAATATATGTGTCCTTATCCATTTATTCAGTTTTTCCAGTAGATTACTTTTTATTAACTCTTATATATAA